AATTCATAAGATGAAAAACTAAAATCAGTCCCTCCAGAGACGAGGTGTTTCAGTCTCTCCTTCCCAGAAAGGAAAGAATGACGAGATTGGCCAGAAGCCAACTTGAATCCAATTATTTGAGGAACCTGGAGAAAACCAATTTTTTAGGAACCTGGATAAAAATGTTTCAATGCAGAAAAAGAGAACAGAAAAGCAAATTACATAAATAATTTTTGACACTAGGAGGATAATGGGAAAGAGTAATACTCTGCCTACACCATCCAAGGTCCCATATCAATTTATGGTATATTTTGCCTGAAGAAAAAGATGATGTAAGGAATATTGGTTTACTTTACCAAATGATAATTTTATTTTCTGGGACAGGTAAGCATCAAGGGACCTAGCTAAGCGTCTGTCTCAGAGTTTCCACGTTCTCCATTTAAATTATAATTTGAAATATAAAGATCATGTCATAATTGCCTAGCAGGATGGCAGCCGGATGCCTCCATCTCAGACAATATCTGATATAATCTCTGGTCACAGAGCATGGAGCTTGAGCTTTTTTGACAGCTGGAGTCCTAAACATATTGAGGGCTATGGGCACAGTCTTGTTCCTTCCTGCCCTAAATGTAGGCCTTGCTTGTAGATTTGACCAAATGTTTCAGTCAGTGAAATAATCTCAGGTAAGATGCTGTGTTGATAGTATCATCAATAAAGTTAACAGGAAGTGACACTAATAAAGAATAAATAGTGAAATGCTTATCAGTGCTTCCTAGGAGCAGAGACCCAAGGAAATTAAACTTTACGGCACTAAAGGAGTTGTGGTCTTTCCTTATTACTTAATCTGGAAGGTGGTGGTTTTTCTACTATGTGTCAGTTCAGAATCAATAAATCTTATACCAGTTGGGGTTATTCTGCTCGCCAGCTCAAATTTAAACATTGTTTTGAGATCTATAAGGATTTAAGTTTTCACCTTCGTAACAATTTTAAGAATCATTCCCGATTTACCGTGAGAAGAGAAAGAAATATATTTTTTCTTTTGGTTTCTAAAAATCATTGAAGTTTGCTGATATCTCTTCATAGCTTTTATTTTGATGAGGCCTTTTAAGTATTAAAATTATGTGGGATTTACCTCAGAATATTGCTTTCAGTTCCCATGCCATCTCTCATAACTTACGACAGTTGGGTGATCTAGATCTGTCTTCTCCTATAGGTTCCATCTAGATAAGACCTGTCAAACAGGCGGCCCGTGGGCTGGATATGGCCTGCATAGGCCACGTCTGGGCCTGCGCAAGCCATGCCCACCCTGGCTTCACAAAGGCAAAAAAATCCAGATACATCATGATATGCCCCATCATGCAATCGGGTTTGACATCCCTGATCTAGATAAACCATAACTCTCAGACTCCCATATAACATGATTAGCATTACTTAGCAATAGCATTTAGGCTTATATATTGCCCCATAGTGCTTTGCAGCATTCTCTGGGTGGTTTGCGATGTAAGCATTATTTGCACATTGCCTCCAACAATCTGCGTCTTTGGAAGAATGAAAGACCGAGTAAACCTTGAGCCCCATCAGGATCAAACTCCAGGCTGTGGGCAGAGTTAGCCTGCAATACTGCACTTTAACCACTGAGCCACAAGGCATGCTATATATAGATAACATAAAGCAACCAAAGAACAATTAAATTCTAGGTAGAAGCTAGACTGTTCTCCAAGGGCCATTGCACGAACTTTGATAATTAGTAGGACTATGCAGAGATGCAATGACAAGGGGTAAACTGTGATACAGAACATTTGTGATCATAGAATAAGGAGCACTTTAAAGCTTGTTTTTTCTTGGAATCATAAGCCCAAGAAAAGACACAGATGTTTTAAGGTGTGGCAACTGCTATATGCATACCCATACACACTCCAAATAAAATGTTGTCCCCTAAGTCAAAATTTCTGCAAGCGATAATGATTAAGAGTGCCATATCAGGGCTGCAAAAATATTGAGAAACACTAGGTGTCAGCAAAGGAGTTTTTGTATTGATCTGATGAAATCAAATTGTGGCTGAATGCCAAAATGTCATATGAAAATGCTGAAAACCAAGAAGATAAGGTTGATAATTAATTTCATGTATGATTTATGAGTCTTCTGTTTTGCCACTCAATTCTGACCTGCAGCTACAATAAAATGTGATTAGCTAATGTGTGACTCAGTGCATTTTGTGAATACAAGCAGCGTAATGGATGTACAGTTCAATGGGTTGAATAGATCCAACTGACAAGAGAAATAAATAAATAAACGAATAAACCATGGATTAAAAGGTTTATTGAGAGACGACCACTCTCTCTCGTTCACACAAATGCATTCTGCTCCTAATTAAGAGGCTACTTCTTGGGTAAGCTGAAGTATGAAACATGTATGAAACACTGGATACACTGATATCCTAGAACCATGATGGCAAACCTATTGCACGTGTGCCAGAGGTGGCATGCAGAGCCCTCCCTGTGGGCATGCGTGCCACCACCAGTGGCTCTTCTGGTTTCCGGTGCACACATGCACAGCTGGTCTCCATGGGTTCCAGAGTGTGGGAAAACAGTCTGAAAACGGCACCCCAAAAGCCAAAAACCAGGCCGTTTTTCTGGCTGGTTTTGGGGGTTATTTTCAAGCCAAAAACAGCCCTAAAAACGGTCTAAAAATGACCCTGAAAACAGCCAAAAAAAACAGCCAAAAACAGCCCTAAAAACGGTCTAAAAATGACCCTGAAAACAGCCAAAAAAACCAGCCAAAAACAGCCCTAAAAACGGTCTAAAAATGACCCTGAAAACAGCCCAAAAACCCAGCCAAAAACAGCCCTAAAAATGGTCTAAAAATGACCCTGAAAACAGCCCAAAAACCCAGCCAAAAACAGCCCTAAAAATGGTCTAAAAATGACCCTGAAAACAGCCCAAAAACCCAGCCAAAA